GTTTTCTTTTTATGTCAAATTTTAAAATGTTGACAGTGCTCAACAGTCCTCCTAAGTCGGAGCACATCTGTCTAAGTGGCAATGAACCAACAAACTGCACACAAGCAAGCCAGGTTTGTAAAATGGATGTGCACTCAAAACCCAAATTGTGGAACAAGACTACAAAAGCAGATAAATAATCAAAACCTTCCAGTGGAGTTTACTACTGGTGAACCTGAACAAGAAGCAAAGAGACGTTCTCAGTAGATGCCACAAAAATGTTAACAGCAAACAGTAGCAGTAGTAGTTCAAACAATAATTTTGTGTTCAACTCATCTATGTTTTAATTGGGATATCCAGTCTGTTTGAAATTTAAATACTGGATATAAATGCCTACCAATTACTTCTGTTTACAGTAATATATAACTCAAAGCAGACGTAAAAATATGTAAACAAAGAATAACAGTTTTTTGTTGTTGCCCAAATCCATTCTACCTTTTTAGAATTTGAAATAAAAATCATAACAGGCACATATGCAAATGTAATTTTGTGAAACTGCTAATCATCTGATATGAATATAACTACAAAAGAAGTTACAAAAGAAGTTACAAAAAAAAAAAGCAAGTTTTAAATGCACCACAGGATAAAGTATGAGAACTTCTTCTTCTTGTATGAGAACTTCCTCTTTTTCAGCTGTCTGCACCTTGAATGTTGAATTAAGAATCGACATCACAGCACTCGGGACACCCCCATAAGTGATCTATCCCCATCTTCAGCAGCAAGTGAAGAGTTCCAATTCTGATGGCACCAATAACTGTCTGATTTTATTTCTGTCTTGCCTTTCCCTTGAGTGTTGAGCATTGTCCAGATCCCCTTGTAACTCCTCGCAGTGCTTTTTTCTATTCACTTATGAGGGTTTACTGTTGCAGATGCCACAGACCTCCATCCATCTGTGAGACAGGCCTTCTCTTCCCAACTGATGATCCCAAGTGTTTGTAAGTCTGCCTGTATATTACCTCCCCCACCCCCCCCCCCCCCCTTTTTCTTATTTATTTGCTGCATGGTCTACTCCCTTTCAACTCTTTTGTGTATGCAGCTTTTTCTTTCTGGTTTCTACCATTCTCTCTAAACAACCCAACTATTGCAGTCTAAGATGAATATCTGATCTAATGTTGATTTGTTTTGTTGGAAACCTTCCTAGTAGTCACTTAATATATGAATGAGATCTTGCAAAATAAAAATATGGACATATGAAAATTAAAATAGTAACAGCTAAATAAAAATATTTAAAAAAAAAAAAAAATTAAGTGGCACAGAGTAATCGTTGACAAAAATGCTATGGATGATCCTTTACTTAAAACAACATTCTGTGCCATCTCTGGAATAAAGGTTAGCTACAGCAGGCCCACTGCTATCTTTGGTCAGGCACCCAGTCTCTTCCATTGTGGAATTCTCATATTACTACAATCTACAATCTGCAACCAATAAAATGTTTCAAATAAGAACCATCCATGATCGCAAATTTGATATTTATTGAGGAAGACGGAACATCTTTCAATTTTCCCAGCAGTGTTATGATGTATATTTTTTAGAACCATTCCCGGCCAATAGGTCTCTTGACTTCCTCTGTGTAAATGAAGACATGACCAAAATATGATGACCTTCAACTGGGTAATATTTGATTATTTCCAAAACAGATGCCAAGACTGACTTATTCTTTCACCAAATATATCAACAAAGAATGACTCCCCATGTGGGGAAAACAAGAATAGACCCACTGTCTACCCAAAAGCTTGTGTAAGAGTCATCTAACTGGGAGCTTCGTTTGAAGTCAGAGTGCATTTGCCTGAGATGCAAGGAACCAACAGTGGGCATACAAATAAGTCAGACCTGTAAAACAGATGTACATTCAAAACTCAAGTTCTTGAACAGGTCTAGAGTCCAGAAGTGGATGAACAGCCAGCATTTTCTGCTGCAGTTTATAGTTAGTGCGAAGAACAATAAAGAATGACGATAGCTAGTTCCAGCCACTGAGTGCTTGATGAGCACTTACTTCTGCCGATCATTCGATTGTAAAACTGGAAGATGATGATGGATTTTAAACCATGATCTCATTGTATGTTGAGGAGAGCCTAAGGGTTTCTCTAACAAGGGCATTATAATAATCATTATAAACATTTTATGATCTGTAAATCTCAAGCCTACAGGAAGCTCCCAGGTTGACCCAGCCTAAAATGGGAAAGTTTAGAAACAATGATAGAAACTGTATACATGTAAACAAACTCAGTAGATCAGTTTACAAACAACGATAGAAACTGTAAATTAGTAAATTAGTTTACAATTAATGGCAGAAACTGCTTACATATAAACTCTTTAGTACATCAGATTATAATCAATGACAGAAACTGTATATATGAAGACAAGCAGCATGTTTCATTTTGATTACAGGATCTATGTACAAGTATTTACAACAAATAACATAAATTATGAGTTTATTTGATTTCAGTTAGGTATCTGGATTACTTAACTGTGAATTGTAAGTTTTGTTTGATAAAAAAAAAATGGTAAACATTTTTCTTTTTTTAAACCTGTCTTCATTCGTTTGTTGAGACTCCTAGTGGTTTTTAATTTGTATTTTTTTTCATTTTTGGTACCTTTCCTTATTATTTAACTTAGCTCCCAGGTCAACCCAGCCTAAAGTGGATACCAGGAAATGTCATTAGAAGTAAAGATTGCAGGTGTTATGTTGCCCATATTCATTATCAAGTGCTCATTGAGCTAGAAACATCTGCGTCTAGCATCATATGTCAGATGTCACAAAAGGATTTTTTACTTACTACATTAACGAGAGCATGTACACAAAAACCCCATAGCACTTACCCTGGGAGTAACCAGGTCACCTTTAAATCATCTACTTCAATAAGGATTCAAACTTTTGACCATTGGGCCTGCATACTTTCATTACAAGGCCTGCCTGATATTTCTGGTGACCAATAATTCTATAGGAGTTAATCTTGAAGATGCAAAACAGTTGCCTACAATATTAGTAGTAATATTAGTAGTATTATTAGTAGCAGCAGCTGAAGTAGTAGTTTTTGCCGTGTAGTTGTTGTTGTTCTTTGTTCTTTGCCTTAGAAGAGCTGCAGGAGTTTCAAGGAAAGACAGAATACAAAATCAGACGAATGCTAGAAGTAAAGCCAGTCTTACAGGTCATCAAAGAACAAAAATAAAGTGGTTTGGACACCTAACAAAAATGCCCTGGTGCTATCTGCCACAGCGAGCCACACTAAAACGTTACAACAGGTATAGAGCGAGTGGAAGACCTCGGAAAAGATGGAGTGATGGCATTAAGAACAACCTTACAGAAATGAACATCAGTCTTTATCGTGCTCTTGACAGAGCTTATCAACGAATGTTACATCCCCCCCCCCCTCCTCCCGCACACTTTGATGAGGTACAAGGTGGAAGAGGAGAAGAAGAAGAAGAAGAAGTTGTTGTTGCTGATGATCACAGTTCTGCCCAAAAAAACGAGATGTTAATGTGACATAATAAACCCACTACAGCCGATCTACACCATAGAAATTGCACTTGATGGTGATGATGGTAAAAAACCAAAACAAATTAGTAAGCGTGAATAAGCTGTTATTTTAGTAGGAACTCTGTAGGGAAGCAAGCACAAAAAGGAGGATTGAGATTATCAGAATCTGCATGTGGGCTTCAAGTACTAATATATGTGTGTGTGTATGAAAAGAAAAAGACTCCTTAACAAGATCATCATAAAAAGTGACAATGAAGATTTGCTGAAATCGATGTGACAGGCCGAAAGCTGCAGATATTACAGCCTAGCTGTAAACCACAACAAAATTTGCCAGTTACCTTTTTTAGAGCAAAATCAGAGAAGGGCGAAGAAGAAGTAGAAGTGAAAGAAGATTATCAGAAGAGGGCCATGTTTACATAAATGTTTCGGAGCAACCTCTTCTCAACCTTCCTGTCATCCAACGAAAGTTAGTTGCAGTCAGCTTCAGGACATCGCAAACCAACCCCAGCCATTTATTGGCCATTGTGTAGTTTTGTTTAGCAAATTTATGTTCTGTAGTGTTGTCCCTTTGTTTTCTGAACAGTTCGCCACTCATAATATTGTCAAAATCACTGCAAGTCTGTAACCAAATTGTCTGCAATTACTTTTAACCCTGGTATTTGAGCTGCGTTTACAACTCCTAAGTCATGAAATACTGATGGTAACAATTTTCTTTTTTCATGTAAGTAAACTTTAAGGAAACAAAACGGTACCTTTTATGTCAAACTCACAGCTCATGTAGAATAATTATGTACACTGATGATACAAAACTATAAAAAACGATTTTATAAAAAGATTTACAAATGTACAAAAATTATACACCAGCGTAACACAGAAATGAACTCACAAATGTGTGATTATTTATGCTCAATATTTAGAATAAAAAAATCTAATTATACAAGCTAAATGGATGTTTCAGTCAAATACAGGAGGAATCTTGCTTATTTATCATAATCCAGTTGAAAACAGTATTACAGCTGCATGGACAGGAGACTGAAAAGAAGAAAATTTGAGTTTGAAATGGATAAAATGGGGAAGACATGCCGTGAGCTGTAAAGGACAGGATAACCTGGCGTGAGCTGGTTGAGGGTCTATGCTCCTTTGGAAGACAAAAAGCAGAAGAACATTTCAATAAAGACAATGAAATTTCGCATGATTTGATACAGAAAAATATGTGTTCACTGCCTTAAACCAAATCCACAAAGTTAATGAAACCTGGCATGACTTCATACAGTACAAAATATAAAATGTGTCATTACCTAATGATATTTCAATGAAGTTAATTAATTAAATGTAGCATAATTTGATTAGCAAAAATACAATAAGTGTTCATCAGCTGATAAAAAAAAATCCATAAAATAATGTGTATAATCTTTTTTCAATGTTTTTGTAAATAAGCAGGTTATATTTTCTACAGCGTAAACTCTAGAAAAGGTATGATGGCTTATGAGGACTCAGTAGGTGCGTCAAACATAAAGGGGACATATCGGTTTTCTTTATCATCATCTTTGAGGTTCTCAACCAATGCAGTTGGACTTTGTTCTTCTCTGATGATAGCCTGTAGATTATCAACTGATTCGTAGATATTTTCTTCAAAAGAATTACCGTACGTGTGATCTAACTGCGCTAAACTATCATCCGTATCTGAGTAGACGTTTCCGTAAAACTGATGCCTGGAAGCCCTGGGAACATCATAGGCATATCTGCTGTCTGCTCGCTGCCCGGGAATTTCATCATAAGAATTTTCTGCTTCCTTTGAAACTGGATGAGAACCTGCAGCAACAGACTGCCTATTTTCTGAAACCAAATGACCGTTGCCGGAATCTTTCTTGTTAGGACGTGGCAATCTTGTGTTTACAGCAGGAGGCGTGTCATAATTGTTCATAACAGACCTCTGCTGCCCTGGAGGTGGCACTGGTGGTAGTTTAGCATCTCTGTCATTCTTGGATGTTGTAGTGGGTACAAACCCAACAGCAGAATCAACTTTACCCCCACAAATAGCCACGCAACCACCTTCAGCATCATACTCCTCTGCTTCCCCATCAGTTTCACTACCACGACTGTTAGTTCCTTTTCCAGAGAGACAGGCTTTGGCCTCTTCATAGTAGGGATTTTCATACCCAATGCCTCTGTCATCTTCTCGAATCTGCTTTCTATTTCTGGGGAAAAAATTAAATATATATATAAGCAGTTTCACAAACTACTAAATATTTCAATTCTAAGTAAAAATTATTTTGATTATATTCTAAATACAATGCAGACCTGATAAAGACAACTCACCAGAGACCTAAGAAATTGTTCTTCTTTTCAGAAATTCCTCTTATCCAAATAAAAATTTAAGGAGGAAAAATTGCAGAGGATAAACATATCGTTATTCACAAAAGAAATCTGCCATATTCAAGATCCCCTTAAGCGGCAGGCACTGTATTTGTTTCTTTAAGGGAAACATTTTAGGATTTGAACTGTTTAAAATGTTAACTCTATACTATAAATCAAAGTAAAAACTGGGTTAGAATTGTCAATGCGCCAGCGAGACGAGGAAAATGGTGGTAATAATCATATCTCGTAATGTTTAACTAGTAAACACACTGTTATATTCCTATGTGGTTTTCATTCATGGTGGTCGGTAAATTGTATTGTGGTTTATAATAGGGCTGTACCGAATAGTGATTTTCACTATTCGACCGAATACGAATAGCGGGACCAACTATTCAGCCGAATACAAATAGTGTATAAAATATACCTTAGAAAAAAGAAAGAAAAACACTCATTCATAATGTCAAATGTACGCTGAACTTTTACTTCACATAAAGTAGCACAGAATAGTCATCTTCTTCTTTAGCATTCCGAGCCCTTAAGTTTAATGCTGCAGATATCACTCGTCTCCATTCATCTCTCTGGCTGGCCTTCTCTTCACACTTTGTGACACCAGCTGTTTGCAGGTCTGGCTGGACTTATCTCTCGAACTTCTTTTTTGTCTGCTTCGTGGTCTACGCCCATTCCTCTCTCAGGTGTATACAGTTTTACTTCTCTATCATCAGACATTCTTTCAGTATGCCCCAACCATTTTAGTCTGTTAGCTCTCGTGATGCCAGTGATCAATGATGATTTAAACAGATTATGTGTTACGTTGTTGCTTCTCACTCTCCATTCCCCACTGTTAGCATCTTTGATGGGTCTAAAGATTTGTCCTGAGACTTTTTCTGAAAACCTGTAATAAGGCCTCATCTCTTTTATTTCTGCTTCAAGTTTCAGAGCCATATAAAACGACTGGTCTTATCAACGTTTTATATATTTTGACCTTGTTGTTGCGAGACAGACACTTTGACTTTAGCAGATGTTGAAGGGCATGGTATACTTTATTTTTAGATTCTATTCTAGATTGTATTTCTTCTCTCAGCATGTTGGAGCAGTTGGAGTTTGCACTCAAGTACTTATTAGTTTCTGTTCGTTTGATTTTTATATTATCGACTTGGGTGCGGCCGAAGTTTATATTCTTTCCATGTCTAGCAAGTATTCATACAGAATAGTAAACATTTAAAAACATTTTATGTTTTGCATTCTTCAGTCAGTCTGTGGTAACTAATAACTAGGAATGAAAGAATTCTAAGTATTATAACAAGTAACTAAACTTGAAAATTTTCAATGACAACTTAGTTAATGTACGAAAGCTGCATTACCTTTCAACAAAACCAATCGTTCCATTGTTGTCAGTATTAAGGCCGTGTATGCAGAAGCGGGTGTAAGGTAACTACTATTCGTATTCGGCCCGACCGCAACTATTCGGTAGAATACCGAATAGTCAATAGATCTACTATTCGGCCCCAAAATGTATACGAAAATTTGGTACAGCCCTAGTTTATAACAAGGCTGCAGTATCTGTGCTTTTTGACCCAACACATCCGATTTCAGCAAACCACTGATTAGTTGCATTTTACAATATGGTATCAAGCATACAGAATAAAGCTGTGAGGGTAATTCTGGGATGTACAAGAGATACCCTGGTAGTATGTAAGTGATATATACTTGCACTGCTGACTATTACAGTCAGGCTCAAAGTACTGCAAGCTAAGTCATATCTCAAAGAAGCCGCAGATAAGAAACACCATCTGCATGAAGCCTTTAGACAGCTAAGGGTCACAGATTGAAAAGAGGAAGGTCTTGGATGGCGCAAGTTGAAGATACAAATAGGCATGTGTGGAGGTTTGATAAAATTCAGCGAGGACAGGAGTGGTTCAGAATGTCCTAGAAGAAGTCAGTCTTGAGTAGGATTCAAATCAAACTGGGCCATGAGTGTAGGGACTGGCCAGTGGGCACTGCAGTAATCAGAAGTTCGACAAATGATTCAAAACAATTCTCACTCATGTGATGTGATAATCTATACAGTTAGCTTTGTGTTGAGAGGCGGATGAAGCTCATGGGGGTTCTTAGCAAAAGTGAATGGACATCGCTTTGTGCAACAAAGCCTGGCATATGATACCACAACATCTAATTTAAGAATGCAGGTAGAGACAGTCACTGCAACCTTTCGCTGATTTGAGAATCAGTTGTACACATATGTCATAAGTGTAAGCGACTCACACATTTTGAGAAAGGTGGAGACTGGTGTGCTCTGTACGAGTGGCAAGCATCACTTTAGAGGTCCCAGGCAGCAAGCGTCCTTTGGATATTTTCACTAGGACATGCGAGCATAGTAGGAAAATGAACAGCCAGATAGACTGGCTGGTTCTGCACAATTTGGTGGTGAAATGATGTATGACAGGATAGATGTTGTAAGAGCGCTTTGGGGATGAGTGAACAGCGTGGAAACATAGATGAATCATCATTGTCTGAAGAGAATGGCACTGGGAGGAGTGATGAGGAGATATGGTCAACGATCAGCACTCAAGGTCGGATGTACAATCAGACTGCCACTGGTACCATTTGCAATGGAATTCTGCACTTGCTGCTGAAGATGGAGATGGATCACTTATGGGAATGTCCAGAGTGCTAAGATTTTGATTCCTAATTAAACATTCAACTTTTACAACAAGCTTGTTAGGTAGGCAGTAGGACTATTCTTTTTTTTTTTTGCAGCAAAACTGGAGCCCCTGAATCCAGACAGGAAAACTTTGGTAGAGTCATTATTGCTTTCAACCCCTGCAGGTATTACTTTGACTCACTGCATACCTAGCTATTTTACTTAAGGGAAATATATATTGGCGTTATCCATCATCATGATGTGCCATGCTAATAAATTTAGTTTGGTATGTTTCACCACTCCACATGACAACCAGAATCACAGATCAGGTCAGTGTTCTTGACTCGCCCTATCCATATGGCTAAGCCACCAAGGTATTTTTTTTTCTTCCTCCTGTTCTCTTTCAATCAATCTTAAAAAAGCATTCATATAATAACTCAATCAATCTTAAAAAAGCATTCAAATAATAACTCAATCAATCTTTAAAAGGCATTCAAATAATAACTCAATCAATCTTTAAAAGGCATTCAAATAATAACTCAATCAATCTTAAAAAAGCATTCAAATAATAACTATGTCTTCTTTGTAGCATTCACTGGTTGTAAACTCTAGTAGTAAGTTATGGTTGTTTATCCACTTCTAAACTTTGGTCTTGTTCTAGCTTGAGTTTTGAATGCACATCCCTTTTTCATATCTTGCTTATTTGTATGCATTGTTGGTTCCTTGACTCTCAAGCAGATGCGCTCAGACTTCAAAGGGAACATCTCAAATTGGTCGCCTTATATAACATTCTTTTTGGGGAGGGGGGGGGGGGGGGGGGGGGGGGGGGGGGGGGGGGGGGGGGGGGGGGGGGGGGGGGGGGGGGGGGGGGGGGGGGGGGGGGGGGGGGGAGTCTATTCTTATTGTCTCTCAAATAGGGCCCTAGAACCCACACAGGGAGATAACTCTAGTAAAGAGAAAGTGAAGAACAGTGAACAATAAAGAATGGGTGAATGTAAAATAGCTTTGCGAGACATAAAGAATTAAGAAATGCAGACGTAGTAAGTATTTATCAATAAACACACTGTGAGTTATGTGGCACTGATGATTGATTGCAATGACTAACCTTCTTTTCATGATGAAGAAAATGCAGATCCCAACAGCCAAGCTTGTTAATACAGTGATAACAACAACAGCGACAGTGCCTGAAATAAACAGCATCAGTTTTAAAATGCTGGACTCTCACGTGGGAGACCGAGATTTGAATTCTTGATAAGGTTATAGATTTTTATTGTTCGAACAAAAATAAAATATAACCTGCAGTCTATGGTGACTGCGTCGGCTCTGTGGCTAAGTCAATGTGAACACTTCGTAATGCCGGGTTCGATCCCAGCTGCGGGCCATGCGCTGGTTTCGACAGTGGTGTCAAGAAAGCCGACCGTCCAGAAAGCAATGGCAAACTACTGGACGTAAATTTGCCTAGAAAAACCAAACAACAGCCAGGAGCTGTTGGGGTTGGTTCTGCAACGTCCTGTAAAGGATATGCAACTAAACTTCTATGGTTACTGCACCAACTATGCGGCTATAAATCCTCTGGCTCAAACACAACCCTGCCTACAAAGCAAAAGAAGTAAATACCGGCAGAAAAAAAACTGCTAATTACTGCCTTTATTACCACTTATGGGATGTAGGCAGGGGGGAGTCTTGAGCCTGAGGATTTATGGCCGCATGGCTAGTGCTGTCGCCACGACTATGCAGGTGGGGATTTTATTTTGCCCTTGACAGAAAAAATCCCTAGCCTTACCGAGGATAATATTGGCAGTAATGGCAGTTAACATCTGCTTTGCTAACAGACTTCCACTGTGTCCAAAATTCTTCTTCTTCTTATTCAGCATTCCAAGCCCTTGAGGTTCATTGCTGCAGATATCACCGGCCTTCACTCATCTCTCTGGTTGGCTGGCCTTCTCTTTCCAGTTGGTAACCAAGCATCTGCAGGTATCTCTTGACACTATCTCTCCATGATCTTCTTGGTCTGCCTCATGGTCTATGTGTATATACAGTTTTTACCTCTCTGTCATCTGATATTCTCTCAATATGCCCCAGCCATTTTAACCTATTAGCTCTCACTATGCCAATGATCAATGGCGATTTTAAAAGATGAGGAATTTTGTTGTTGCTTCTCACTTTCAATTCCCTGCTGTTAATATCTTTGATAGGTCCAAAGATTCTAAGTAAGTAACACTCTGTTTTCGAAAACCTGTAACAAGCCTTCATCTCTTTTGTGTCAAAAATTATGTTTAGCTAAAAAGTTTGTCATGGATATAACAGGTTGGAAAGCTCTCATGTACAGGATGTCAAAGAACAAGCCAAGCAACTGTATGTTTTTTTTTTTACAAAGCAGTATCCCTGTGTGGGTTACAGAGCTCCACTTTAGGGGAGAAAAAAAAATGACGGACCCACTGCTCAATTAACAAGCATGTCTTAAAAGGGAATTAGAGCAGTGGGTCAATCCTCCACTACGGAAAAAGGAACTCACAAAGAAATAACTGCCTTAAAAAAAATGAATGGTCACTCACCAGAATTAAATTACCTAGCAAAAATAAGTCGTAGTTTAGGGGTAACTTTTATTTTAAAAAAAAACAGACATCCACGGATCTAATAATGCAATCCTTCATAACAGAGACAGAAAGGTTGTTTGGCAGCTAATGAAAAAATAAATAATAAAGAAGCTGAGTGGCGCGGTGATTTCGGTCACAGGCATGAGGGGAAGTTAAGTCTGATGTGATGTGTATAAGGAGATATTCCGTACCCCACTCAGGTGCCAGTCCTTCACTGTTCTGGTTTTACGGAACCTCATGCAAGACTCCTGTTGCACGTCCCCGTCGTGCGCCACGGATAATGTCTCAAACGAGCATTAACAGAGTTGGCAGGGGATCTCGGAGCTGGCGGCCCCTAGAGGTGTAGAGTCCTTTCTGGCTCTCACCAGCCCGCCCCCAAACGCATGGGTGAAAAGTAACAAAACTCAAGGACTGCTTGCTAAATGTACCATCAAATGACAACTCTTGGTTAAAATTCGGGAGCGAATGGAAAACTGTGCTGCTGAGACTCAACCCTGACCGAGAGATTTACCCGCAGCCAAGACGAGTAACATCTCTTGTGGGCGACTTCTCACAGCAAGATCCCACCTACGTACATCCTCTGTCAATCCTCAGTGTCGTCGTCACCGCGCTGAGGTACACCATGGCAGCAACTATTCATATGCTGGCTTGAAAACAATGTCCGACAAAGTTACACCCCATGGCACACATGCAAGCTCAAAGTCCGACGATCATAACTCGTACCGATTAGGAAAAGACTGAATGTCCGTATCCACTGGTCCAACTCGCCCGAGTGTTGGGACCAAACAGGTGAAGCCACGCCTGACGCATTTTGTTTCCCCATTCTGTCGTGCTAAGGGCACAGCTGAAACAACGTTAAAGGTGTCTAACGTAAGATGAAAAAGAATGTACCTATTTGTGTGGCCACAAACGTCCTAGACCTGCGGGCTGCTCCCCGCTGATCTCCGGAGAGCGCAGCCTTGTAGCGCGGGAAGCTCAATACACGGTTGTGAGGTTAAGCAGTCATGGGCAGGACGTGACGATTCCTTGGGTGAGCCCAGACCCAGAGCATCATGTGTCGGCTCTGCATTTATGGAAGCCTCCTTGGATGGCGGGGAATGCCCATGATCTGCCCCTGCCTTCCCTTGAGGGCTGAAAACTCTACATAGAGCTGCCTTAAGGACGGCATGCCGGGGGCCACACTTGTTAAAAGTCAAAGAGGATACCACACAAATAAGGCAACATCTCGACCTACACAAAACAATGTCCACAGTCAACCTAGAAATAGGCTTGATGTCTTCCTCCGAAGTCGGAGTACATCTGCCGGAGAGGCGGGGAACGAGTACTGCAAACAAATAAGCCAGTAAAACAGATGTACACGCAAAACTCAGGTCAAGGTAAAAGCCAAAAGTCCATTTTGGACGAACAACCGTGACTTACCGCCGGAATTCACAGCCGGTGAACAAGAAGAAGAAGAAGAAGAAGCTGAAAGGGAATAGACATTTAAAAAAAAAAGACTTTAAGGAAGAGAACAACTTCAGTGCACTGGATTTGATCTCATATGTCCCGGTCAGTGTCTGCAGAGTGGCTGAGAAGAGGAAAATGAAGAAGAACAAGAACAAGAAGAACAAATAAAAGAAGACAATAAAAAGAAAAACAGACAGTTCAATAAAATGCTACAAACAACAAGAAGAAGACAAGATAGTTTAAAAAAGTAATTAAAAAAAAAAAAATGTTACGAACTTGAATTCATGCTAGATGCTGACTCTGGCATCCTTTCTTGAACCTGTTCAGCCCTGGCTTCATCTGCCCTGACTGAAAGTAAAAGAAATAGATCAATGGTTTAAGCAAGAAGAGTTGAGTTGAGTTGATTCAAGAACCAACATCACAGCACTCGAGGCATTCCCATAAGTGCTCCATCCCCTTCAGTAGCCAGTGCAGAGTTTCAGTACTAATGGTGCCAGTAGCATTCTGATTAAATGTCCATCTTGCCTTTCCTCCCAGTGTCAAGCATCGACCAGAACCCCTCGTCACTCCCTGCTGCATCAATCTCACCAGACTGTGGTGATCCATTTGGTCCTCTGAACTGTACACGCTCTCCCATACGTAGAGTGCTAGACCCACTGCTTCACAGACCTAGCAGAAAGATCTCTCAGAAACTCTCAGCCATCAAATACAAGACAACATCATTAGTACTTTCTTAAATTGGATGTGCTGAGCTGGAAGATGCAGATATTGCACCCAAGCTGTAAACCATAAAACAAGGGCCAACTGCCCTTTTAAAGGTAAAAGTAGTAGAAGAAAAAGAATCATCATTGGCTGTTATCATCAACTGTCATCTTTATGATAAAGGTTTGCTGTCATGGATTTCCAGTATCTACAATCTGCTGTATTTCGAGCAGTCTACCCTCCAGTTTAGTTAAGTGCATTATTTATAAATCAGAGTGCACTTGTCTGAGAGGCAAGAAACCAACAGTCCGCATGCAAAAAAACTAGATCTGTAAAATAGATGTGCACACAACTCAAGCTCTGGAAGAAGATTAACATCCAGAAGGGATGAACAAACATAACTTCCTGCTGGAGTTTAAAAGTGGTAAGCATGAAGAAGAAGAAGAGGAAGGAGGAGGAGGATGAGGAGGAGAAGAAGAAGAAGATGTAAAGAACAGTCAGTTTAGGCCCATTATTTACATCACCAGCACATCTGGGTGATGTAGTCAACAAAATATTGCCTTTACCTTCCTGGCCATTTTTTACTATTCATTTTAGGCTGGGCTGACCTGGAGCCAAGATCATTTATATAAAAACTTGCTCTGATGAGGATCAAAACCCGAGACCTTAATTAACCTCTTCTTTTCTTTCATATGTTTATATTACCCATGCAAGTGCTCTCCATCTTTTCTTCTCGTATGACTTTCAGCAGGATAAAGAAAATGACTAGACTGCACATCCTGAGGTGCAGTGGGATATACCTTTACAGACCAAATAGCATTCAGTAGTTGATGTTTTAACATTACGCTAACAACCTTTACTTCAAAAAACATTTCCTATGCTGATCTGGGAGCCCAAGGCCATTTAAAATACCTGTTTTGATAGGGATTTAAACACATAACCACCACTCCAGTAGGTAGGAATAAGTAAATTTATTTTCTTCTTGTTTAGCATGCTTGAGGTTCATTGCTGCGGATATCACTCACCCACCTCCCTCCATTCTTCTGTGTGATTAGCCTTCTCTTTACACTTTGTAGGTCTGTCAGATTATTATCTCTTTACTGCCGTCTTGTTCGGCCTAGTGATCTACTCCCATTCTTCAAAGTTTTAATGTAACAGCATTCACTGTGTTTCCATGTTTCAAGAAGTCAAGAAGAATAACACCCTTCTCATCCCAAAACAAGGAGGCCATAACTCTCCCTACAAACCTTTTTTAACTTCTTTCCTGACTGCAATTATGCATAATGCCATGACACTGACCGCCTCTTTGATTCTGGTAAAACAAAAATGAACCCAAGTCTCATTGCCTGTCACAATATTCTATAAAAATTTCTTCTCCTTCAGTTCTGTAATGATGCAGGAGGTTGATGGCTACAATTTTCCTTGTTTCTTTATGTCTGTCTGTCAACATTCTGGGTACTCACCTTGCACAAACCTTTGAATAACCCAGGGCCCTACTGATAGTCTGGACACTGCCTTTACTAATGGACAACATGGAATACAGTTCATCCAGTGTTACCCGATGGTCAGCACAAATGATGTCATCATCTTGATGAATGTTGTGCAGTTAACTTCTCCGTAGTTCTCCATGGCCATATATTTCAAACAAGCTTTCTACTGTCATAGGCTTACTGCAGGAATCATATATTCATTAAGGGGAGTCCTTTGTAGTAAAAAATGCTCAATATTATTATGTATTGGTGTGCTCGCAAAGACAAAGAAATCTTACCATGATCTGAATCAACAGGCTGGAACACAATCTCAGGACTTTCTTCTTTCTGTGTACTATTTCTCTCACTGTCCTCTTTACCCATGTGTCCATGTAAAAGGTACTCTGCATTTAAACTCTCTCCTGTTGAGCTAACAGCAACTGAAGTCTTGTTGACTGGGGTTGTTTCTTTGGCTGTCTGAACTACAGTAGAAAATGTTGATGATGATGTTGGGATGACTGTAGTGGTTGGTGTTGTACTTGTCACTGTTGTGGATGGCTCTGGTAGCATATCTAGAGAGAAAATGCAGTTACATTTACATTTTTCCTCCATAATTTCATTTTGGTTGTTTTATCTTTTTTTTTCCTTTTAATGTAGAGAGTTAACAGTGGAGTCACAAAGTCCATCATGTTCTGAAGCGTTAACAGTTAAGTCACAAAGTCCATCATGCTCTGAAGAGTTAACAGTGGAGTCACAAAGTCCATCATGTTCTGAAGAGTTAACAGTGGAGTCACAAAGTCCATCATGCTCTGAAGAGTTAACAGTGGAGTCACAAAGTCCATCATGCTCTGAAGAGTTAACAGTGGAGTCACAAAGTCCATCATGTTCTGAAGAGAATGGTGCAGTGGGGAATGACCAAGGGATCTAGTGATACTCAAACCTGAAGGGAAAGGCAAGAAGGAAGCGTTTTAGAGACACTCAAACCTGAGGGAAAAGCAAGATAGAAGGGCTCTAGCGGTACTCAACCCTGACAGGAAAGGCAAGATGGAAGGGATCTAGTGACACTCAACCCTGAGGGAAAAGGCAAGATGGAAGGGATCTAGTGACACTCAACCCTGAGGGAAAAGGCAAGATGGAAGGGATCTAGTGACACTCAACCCTGAGGGGAAAGGAAAGATGGAAGGGATCTAGTGACACTCAAACCTGAGGAGAAAGGCAAGATGGAAGGGATCCAGTGACACTCAACCCTGAGAGAAAAGGCAAGATGGATAGGATCTAGTGACACTCAACCCTGAGGGAAAAGGCAAGATGGAAGGGATCTAGTGACACTCAACCCTGAGAGAAAAGGCAAGATGGATAGGATCTAGCGACACTCAACCCTGAGGGGAAAGGCAAGATGGAAGGGATCTAGTGACACTCAACCCTGAGGGGAAAGGCAAGATGGAAGGGATCTAGTGACACTCAACACTGAGGGAAAATGCAAGATGGATAGGATCTAGTGACACTCAACACTGAGGGAAAAGGCAAGACAGAATAAATCTAGCAACAACCCTGAGGGGAAAGGAAAGACGGACATAAAATCAGACTGTTACTGTTGGCATCAGAACTGAAACTGTGCCAGCTGCTGAAGAAGGGGACCAAGTGATTATGGGAATGTCTAGAGTTTTGTGATTTGGTTATTAACTGAACACAACTTTAATGTGAAGAGAAAATCATACAGATAAGTTTAAGAAGAAACACGTCAACAATGCTCCTAAAACTTGTGCTCCTTACTGTAACATATGTAGCTGAATGTAAGGTGGTCTTGTCTTTCACACTCTCCTCTGCCATGGACTGTTATTCTTAAGTATTAAGAATCAACATCATAGCACTCAGCACACTCTGATAAGCACCCTGTCCCCTTCTTCAGCAGCAAGCAAGACTTCCAATTCTGACGGTACCAGTAACTGTCTGAAGATTGTACATCCGTCTGACCCTTCTCTTGAGCACTAAGTGGTGGCCAGATCCCCTGGTAACTTCCCACAGCGCCACTCTCCTCAGACCAAAATGATCTATATGTGCCTCCGCACTGTTCACTTGCTCCCAAAGGGCCCTCACAACATCTAGCTTGTCATACATCAATTCACCACCAACTGATGCAGAACCAGCCAGTCTATCTGCTTACTCATTTCCATAAACACTAGAATCACCTGGAGAAAATGTCCAAACCAAGCTAACTACCCGGGACATCTGAAGGGATGTCTGCCTCATTATCTATTTATATTTAACTTTTTTTTTGTAAGCAGTTTTTGTCTCTCTTTTATCTATCATTCTCTCTATATGCCTCAACCATCACAGTCTATTAACCATCAAAAAGAAACTAAATGAAGCCAGATATAACTCATTGCTGTAATATATTAAAAACAATCAGCCTCTATAATAAAATAGATGATAAAATCACTCACCGTTTTAGAATCACCTCTACAATAAAATAGATGATTAAATCACTCACCATATTCACAGATAGAGGAGTAGTCCTCCAACCAGCTACACCTATAATCATGCCAGCGTCCATTTTCTTTCCATCTCATCACAGCACAGTCCTCAAAGCATAAAAATCCACAGCTTGGCTGCCCAGGTGCCCATCGGCTGTAGCCATCTTTTACCTTTTCACCTGAAAAGTTAATAAGATTATGTCTTCCTTCTCCTTCCCAGTTAAACAAGTCCTTCACAGTTAAACAAGTTTAAATTTACTTTGTCCTGCAACTTCAACAAGTTTTTTTTAACTTGTACATTACAAAGTCACTGCCATTAAGATGTGAAGTATAAGGCCTTCACATGATACAGGCCTTGACAAATGAAGTGGGGTGGTCAGTTCCCTTCCTTGCCGTCTTTCTTTCCTAAACAATTTCCAGAAAATTGTCTGGTTTATTTTCATAAGGCTGGGTCAATCCTCGAGCTTCTAGACTTATTCACTCACCATCCTGTGTTCGTATCCTCGAGCTTCTAGACTCATTCACACACCATCCTGTGTTCGTATCCTCTAGCTTCTAGACTCACTCACTCACCATCCTGTGTTCGTATCCTCGAGCTTCTAGACTCATTCACTCACCATCCTGTGTTCGTATCCTCGAGCTTCTAGACTCATTCACACACCATCCTGTGTTCGTATCCTCGAGCTTATAGACTCACTCACTCACCATTATGTGTTTGTATCCTCGAGCTTCTGTACTCATTCACTCACCATCCTGTGTTCGTATCGGGGCCCTATTGTGGGGAGAAAAATAACAAAAAACAGACCCACTGCCACCTAACAAGCATGTCATGAGAATTGGCTAATTAGGGGTTTCCTTTAAAGTTGGAGTGCATCTGCATGAAAGGATAAGAACAACAGTCTGCATACAAATAAGCCACATCTGTACAATGAATGTGCATGCAAAATTCAAGTCCTGGAACAAGATGAAAATCCAGAAAAAACACAGAAAAATTATGTTGTGATTTACAGTCAGTGAACGCAAAGAAAAATCATTCATCACATTCACAAACTGAAGAGTTTGGCAACAAGTCTAGGAGGGAATCTCTGACAGGCAGACAGACACATCACTGCTCTTCCATTCCTCAGCTTATGCAGCAATAATTTTTTTTCTTCAAAATAATTGGTGCTACCCTTTCTTTAGAGTTAACAAAGCATACAGAGTGAGGACTCATGCTGCATGGGCAAACATAGTCAAGTCAATATTTATTGATGCTTTTAGTCAGACATTAAAAAAAAAAGTTCTTAGCCCAGAGATTGTGAAAATAAATGTAGTTGCATGGCAGACACTGCTAAAAAAGGTTAGTAAGTTGGTCAATAAATCATCTCCACTGCACATCCAACGATTTGTTCTATAAGTGTTCAGATCCTGTCCTCAGTATACTCCTCGGTGTGAGGCTGACACATCTTCTTTTTAACACTCATCAGCTGAAAACTCTCATAGAGAGTTCTGACTGATTGTGCACTTTAGGACTTTGGTCTTGTTCCAGAACTTGAGTTTTGCATGCATATCTATTTTACAGATGTGGCTTATTTGTATGCAGACTGCTAATTCCTCGTCTTTCAGGCAGATGCACTACAACTTCGAAGAAAACACCGCTAATTAGTTGTCTTATATGACATGCTTGTATAGGGGAAGTAGGTCTATGATCTTGTTTCCTCCAAATGGGGCCCAGGAATTCACACAAGAGAAGGCTGAAAGATGAATTAACTGATAAATTATCTTCCTTCTTTTCGTGCTTCCTTGCTTGCTGTCTTCAGAAGAGGATGTCCACATGCCTCTATGAAGGCTGTGATGTGATGCATGCCCTCCACCGATCTACACAGCTTGGTTTTAATTGGAATGCTAACTGGCCAGCCCTGGGATCTGCCTACTGCATGTAGAGAGCTTGTCTACAACAGCATGTTTCAGTATTCTGTGCTGCCTGTCCAAGCTGGCAAAGTTCTGAGTTCCCAGTTCTGAACTTCCTGCAGATATGGCTGCAGGGTCTGTTGTGTCGAATTCGCAAAATGAATCTAATTATCTGTTTATTTAATCCGATGAGGCTGATTGTGTTTGGGATGAGAAGTTTTCCAGTGGGTTCTAATGGCTGATTAACCTATAAAATGTTAACCTTTAGTAAAATAAAACTATACAAGGAAGTTGTTTTAACACTTCTGCCAAGGTACTGCCATTCATTAATACCTTAAAGGCTTGGCCACATGCATAAGGGCCTGAAAAAGAGCACTGACCTAATCTATGATTCTGATAATCATATGGGGTGGTGAATCATGACCGCATCTGCTTATCTACATGGAACATGTTGATGGAACATGTTGATGATAGCACAGGACTCAAAATCAGACAATCAGAAGTGACTGTCACCTTTGTAATTCGAGCACTTGAGAGAAAAAAATACATACCTGTCACCCACACCCACTCCATTTCATCATCTTTATCTGTTGCACCAATCCAAAGACCATTTCTTGGCCATCTGAATTCTGCCAAGGCTTTCAGAAGGAAAGTCTAAAAGACAAAAATGAATAATAGATAAATAGTTAAATGTATATAATTAGGACTCTACTACTACTTCTTGTTCTTAGTCTAGTGATCTACCAGCTGTAAACTCCAGCATAAAGTTCTGGTTGTTTGTCTATTTCTGGGTTTTGGTCTTGTTCCAAACTTCAGTTTTGTGAGCGCATCCATTATACAGATCTGACTCCTTTACATGCAGCCTGTTAGTTCCTCGCCTCTTAGGCAGGCAAACTCTGACGTAAAAGTAAACCTACCCCTAATTAGTCACCTTTTACAACATGCTTGGGGGGGGGGGGGCAGTCGGTCTATTATTAGGTTAATCTACCCCCCACCCGTGGGCCCCATAACCCACAGAGGGATTTCCAGGCCCTGAACACAGAAGCAAAAAACATTAACACTGTAACCTATGTCCATAGAGGTGGCATAAAACTGGCTACCTCATTTCATATAATCATCATCATAATCAATTTCCACTTCTGCCATTAAGTGTTGTAGGAAGGAACAGTTTGCAATCCATTGCTTGATGGGTAGCTATAGCTACTGTCATTCTGTGTCCATGTAGAATCTTTTGAATGTCATCAATCCATGTAGAATCTTTTGAATGTCATCAATCCATGTAGAATCTTTTGAATGTCATCAATTCATGTAGAATCTTTTGAATGTCATCAATCCATGTAGAATCTTTTGAATGTCATCAATCCATGTAGAATCTTTTGAATGTCATCAATCCATGTAGAATCTTTTGAATGTCATCAATCCATGTAGAATCTTTTGAATGTCATCAATCCACGTAGAATCTTTTGAATGTCATCAATCCCTGTAGAATCTTTTGAATGTCATCAATCCATGTTCTCCTATGGCAACCTCTTGCTTTTACATTTGATCTTTTCATTTGGAGCGCCTGTGATGATAGATGTTATGGCTGAATTCTAACGAGATGAGCGAAAAATTGGATCTTCTGTTTCTCAATTAGTTTAATGCACGGTGTTTTTCCCACTGTCTATCTGATGGTATCATTTATAATTTTGTCTCAGATGGTTAATATGGTGGCTTTCTTCAAACATCTTATTTCAGGGTGTTTTATTTATCTGCAAAAATCAGTCAATCATAACCAGATCCGTAAAGGATGTTGCATGAGTTTACTGAGAGCTAAACTCCACTTTAAAGTAGATAAACAGATACAGAAAGAGTTTTGTTTTTTAAATTCAAAGAATCCTTCACATGCTAGTGGTGTATCCAGGCATGTGACGCTAGACAAATTTTTATAGACAATTCAGCAGGTTATTACCTGTACAGGACTTCAGGCTGCACCAGCTGGTGTAGGCATAATGGGTGCCTTAATTATAGCTTCTTCTGAGATTGAACGGGGTATGTGGAATGCCCTGTTGGTCTGTCAACAAGACTGACATTTTTAATAATTTTTTTTCAAAAACTCAGCATGGTAAGCCTTCAGGTTTATTCTGGAGGGGAGAAACCTAGCGATGAAACCAGCTGGCACTCAATGGAAGATGTGGTCAATATCACACTAGCAACAAATAGATAGGTAAATATAGATACTAGCAACAAATAGATAGGTCTTCGTCTTAAAGTCCATGCCATGTGGCATAGGTAGTCATATCTATCCACAACTTTCTGTATCGTGTACTTTCAATCAACTCTGACACAGACGATCTTCCATGCCATGACGTCAAACTGTCCAGCATCTGTTCTCTTTGTCTTGCTCTGCCTCTCCTCCTCCAGTTTTCTCCTTCTCATCACATGATCAAATAATGTTGATTTCTCTTTCTGATGTGGGCAATCAGTTATCTTCGTGAGTAAGTTTCTTTCAAGATGTCTTCATTGCTCTTTTTATCTGTCTAGGGTATTCTCATTATTCATCTATAAAACTACATCTCCACAGCTTCCAAATAAGTTTTCACTAATTTACTAACTGTCCATGATTCACTTTCCTATCAACAAATACTAACCCTGTTTAAACCTTACTGATTCACTCACTTCTAGGTTTTGCACCCATTCATTCATTCATTCATTCATTCATTCATTCATTCATTCATTCATTCATTCATTCATTCATTCATTCATTCATTCATTCATTCATTCATTCATTCATTCATTCATTCATTCATTCTTTCATTATAACAGAGCTGGAAGACTAGAGGTGTCAAGTGATCATGTAAATTTTGTCTTCTAATCTCGGCAGTTTTTTTTATTTTATTTCAAAGGCAGTGTCTCTAGACATTTGCATGCTTTTATCATGTAGTTTTTTCCAGGATGTCCTCTGTTTTATTTGTCTTAGTCTGACTTCTGTATTTTTCCTTTTAAAGGCAGTTGGCAGACACAGTTGGCTCTGTGGCTAAGTTGATGCGAACGCTTCATAATGCCAGGGTACCGGGTTCGATCCCAGCTGTGGGCCATACGCCTTGCGTTGGTTTCGACAGTGGTATCAGGGAGCCAACCGTCCAGAAAGCAATGGCAAACTACTGGACGTAAATTTGCCTAGTGAAACCACACAACAGCCAGGGGCTGATAGGGTTGGTTCTGCAACATCCTGTAAAGGACACACAACTAACCTAACCTAATGGCAAACACAGAATTGTTATATACAGCATTTGAGGTATATAACAATACTGCCCTTTTACAGCCCAACACACCTGATTTCAGCAAACCCTTAGTCATCATATATTACATGCTTCCTAAAGGGCAATGGGTCTATTCATCATGCAAGGGGAATCATTGGACCATAACCCCCAGTATTTTTACAGACCTGCATATCTCATACTGTGACCAAGCCCTGATAACTTATTTGTGTGATATTCGACAGGTGTCTGAGAATCTTTCCCCAAAGTCTGAGAATCTGTTCATCTGATGATCATTCCCAGGTAACTTCTTTCTGTGATATTCTATAGTTGTTTAAGTTCAGCAATTAATTCAGGATAATGCTGGCTTGGATGATGTGATTATTTATACAGATGGTTCAGTGTCAGGAGGTAAAAGAAGTGCTTGGGGATTCTTAGCAAAAGGTAACGTTTAGTGCAGGAAAGACTAGCATATGATACCACAACATCCAGCTTAAGAACGGAGGTGGAGGCGGTCACTGCAGCTTTCCGAGAACACGATACACACATACATCATGATTGTGACTGACTCAGAAAGCATGCTGAGGACAGGTGTGCTTTGTGCAGAGTGGCATGCTTTGCTTCAGAGGTCACTGATGAAGAGCACTGTTTGGATCTTTTCTCCAGAGTATGACGATGTGTTGGGAAATTAATATTTGGACAGACTGGCTGGCTTTGCACAACTTGGCAAAATACTGATGCATAAGGTAGACACGGTTAAGGCCTTATGGGAGCATGTGTACAAGTCAGAGGAGAAACTGGATCATCACAGTGTGGTGAGAGTGATGCAGCGAGGAGTGACGAGGTGATCTGGCCAATACTCGACGCTCAGAGGAAAGACATAAAAGAATCTGCTGCCTGTGATTGTGGAGCAGAAAGACAGACCCCTGGGCACATACTACAGTACTGCCCTTACCTCTCCCAGCAGAGACTGCGGATCTGGCCCAAGGGAGCCACATTGAGAGAGAAGCTATGGGGGACCAGTGGCGACCTGAAACGCACAATCCTATTTGTGACCCAGACTGGACTCAATGTTTAGCATGACTGATGTCAAATGCAGAAGAAGAAGAAGAAGGAAAGACAAGACAGACATATAATCAGTCTGCTACTGGTACTGTTGGCATTAGAAAGCCATGAGTGCTGTGATGTCAGTTCTTGAATCAACTCAACTCAACTCTATAGTTGTGTATTTTCTTCAAAATCTGAGAATCCTTCATTTGGTATGCGAGTTCTGGGGCCTCAGTTTGGGAGAAAACTACCCCTTAAAAGGCATGTCGTAATAGACGACTAATGAAAAGTTTTCAGAAATTGAATGAGCTGGGCCCAAAGGCACAGATATCACAGCCTAGCTGTAAACCAGAACATATTTAAGGGTAAGCATGCAAGAAAAAGAAGTTCTATGGGTCTCCTATTTGTCTAGCCAATTCTTTGCACCCTGCAATAACAACATATCTCAAAAACATCTGTAAGCAGATGCCCAAGGATTAAAAAAAGCGACTATGAAAAATGCATGACTTAAGAAGAAGTTAAATAGTACCTCTTATATAAAGGTTGCTACTGTTACTACAAATGGAAGAATAAGTGGTATATATAAGCGGCCATTCTCAAGCCAGATTTTTTGAGTATGATATGACCAAACATAAAAAGTATGACAACATATTAGCCTATGGTTGGGATTCAGGAATTAAAGACAGTAAAGAGACCTTTCCACATCAGTGGTGCACTGGGCATATGATGCTAGACCCATTTTTATAAGACTAATAAGTACTCAATGGACTATGTCGTCCACATCAGATTCATGAATTATGAAACAATAATATAAAGCAATACCAGATGCATTACCTCAAACGTGTGGGTTCCATGCCCTCCGCTGCCCCCCTTTGGGGATAGGACATTAGACCCACTTCCCTCCCCCTTCTGGCCTCTAACAAGTGTGTTACAACATTAGACTAACTAGGGGTGTATCGTTTGAAGTCAAAGTCCTAGTGACCAACAGTCTGCATACTTATAAGTCAGATCTGTAAGACTGATGTACACCCAAAACTCCAGTTCTGAAAGAAGATTAAAATTCAGAGGTGGACAAACAACCAACATATTTCCGCCTGAGTCTACAGCCGTTGAATAGAAGAAGAAGATAATGTATAATTAAAAAGAAACAAGCAATGGTGGAAACATTGATGAATAAAAGTAAAACCAATCATTTAGACAAATAGTTATGAAATGAGAATTATCTCCCCATACCTGAATGCGTTCTTCTCTGATGGTGACCAAATGTCCTCCCTTCCTAGCACAGATGGCACTTGCTTCCCTCCAAGATCTCTCCTGTAAATTAAAATCGTAACACTTGCCCCAATCCGCCGCCGCCTTCAAGTAACGTGAACGGGGAATCTGCCAAGGACACCGACTGAGCAGAT